TCAAATCCATATATTTGAATAAAACTATTTTGTTTTATTTAAACCTTTCAAAGACAGGTCATAAAGTATGGTACTTTTTCGGGTAGTCACCGCTAGGCTATAAACAGACCACCAATGGCACTGTGTCAAACAACGTTTGTTGTAGTTATTTTCGCATAATTACTGCAACGAAAATGATGTAGTTCAAGTGGTTGGTAGCATTACCCCTCGACCAGACATCGTGATAGGACAGAGAATATCGATTTAAAAAAAAAGAATGGCAAATAACGAAAACGAATGGCGAATAACTCTTTGCCATTCGAATGGCGAATATGCTCTGCCAATATGAAATGGTATTCGTCTTCTATTTGATTATTATTACATTGTTAACATAACAGTGCATTTGGCGGAATATTCTTATAACGACCAGGCTCTATCTCGAGATGGTGTGTGCTGAGCCTAATCGAAGTCAACGCAATTTTATTGGCCTTTGATTTGACGGAGTGCAGATAGAACGGTATCGCATGAAAATCTGGCTTAATTTTTCCATACGTCCGAAGTTTATGGATCGATAGCGAATTTTCTTGTTGATCAGTAACTATTAGGAAAAGATCGACAAATTTCTTTTCGGTGGCAGATTTTATGTCACTATTTTTTAGGTCATTTTGTTCAAGTTCAAAATATCTGGTTAAAATACCTATGCTATGACAAAATGATTTTCTTGAACCAGCAGTTTTACAAGAAAGTTCATAATCCGCTACAAATGGCGTGTCAAGAAGTTTGTTTTTACTATCCGATAAGAATCTTTTGAAGTAAAGAAGCATACGCTGATATATGTCTAGGGATAGTGGATGAATAACACATTCCGCTAGACATCCCATGTTACTGGCACGCTTAGGCATATTGAGAATGGATTTACAAATGTTTATTGCACCTCTATTTTCTTCAAATTTATCCCATCTGTCAATCTTAATTGTCCCCCGCCTTTCGAAGAAAGCAGGGGACTATTAAAATGGGTTCGTCCGTCTGTCCGACTTTTTGGGACACAATAACTCTCTTCCTAATTGAGCTAGAATGTTCAAACTTGGTGTATGTGTTTATTAGGTCAATGCCTTGATGGAGTTCGAAGATGAGCATTTTCCGCTTAGGGTAAGCAGAGATAAGCAATTTGATTGGTTGATGCTTTGGGACACGATAACTCTCTTCCTAATTGGGCTAGAATGTTCAAACTTGGTGTATGTGTTGATTAGGTCAATGCCTTGATGGAGTTCGAAGATGAGCATTTTCCGCTTAGGGTAAGCAGATATAAGCAATTTGATTGGTTGATGCTTTGGGACACGATAACTTTTAATTGAGCTAGAATGTTCAAACTTGGTGTATGTGTTTATTAGGTCAATGCCTTGATGGAGTTCGAAGATGAGCATTTTCCGCTTAGGGTAAGCAGAGATAAGCAATTTGAATGGTTGATACTTTGGGGCACGATAACTCTCTTCCTAATTGAGCTAGAATGTTCAAACTTGGTGTATGTGTTGATTAGGTCAATGCCTTGATGGAGTTCGAAGATGAACATTTTCCGCTTAGGGTAAGCAGAGATAAGCAATTTGATTGGTTAATGCTTTGGGACACGATAACTTTAGTTCTAATTAAGTGAGATTGATGAAACTTGGTGTATAGATTTATTATATGAATACCTTAACTAAGTTCGATAATGAACATTTTTTGCTGAGGGTAAGCAGAGTGATAAGCAATTTGATTGGTAGAAACTTTGGAACACAATAACTCTCCTTCTAATTGAGGTAGAATGTTCAAACTTGGCATAGGTGTCTATTAGGTGAATGTTTAAACTTGATGTATATGTAGATGTTCATTAGGTGAATGTCTTGACTGAGTTCAATAATTAACATTTCGAGCTGAAGCTAAACAGAGCTAATCGATTTCATTTGTCGATGGTTTGGGACAAGATAATCTTGATTCTATCTGATAGAGAGTGATGAAACTTAGTGAAAAAAATAAATGTGCGATTAATTAATATGTGTCATCTATTTATTTTGCAATTTCGGCGGGGGACATCAGCCTCACTGTTGGCTTGTTATGTTTTATGTTTTTGTTTTTGAAATCGTATGAACCCCAAATCTCTGCCCCTTAAAGGGCTATCTGCTTAACAATGATAAAGATGTATCATTACTGTAGAGGGGAGGGATTCAGTACAGCACATTTTCTGTCTTATCGCATACCACGCGCGTCCGGCTTTTTACATTTGGTCACAAAATGCTGTTTTAAAGCTAGAGTTATTAGTAATCGTTAATCCAAGATAATTGTACGTTTCGGTATTTTGGAGTTCAAATTCTTCAAAATAAAATTTATATACACACTTTTGCTTTTTAGTTGTTTTAGAATTAAGGAACGTCATTATTTTTGTTTTATTCGGATTAAGTTTAAGTTGCCAATCGGAACAGAACTCAGATAAATTATTTAATTGTTTCTGTAGATCAGCCTCATTAGAGGACAATAAAACTAAATCATCCGCAATGAATCCATATGTGTAGTCGATATTGGGAATTTACTCGGCCACGTCCAATGCACCTCATATCTCAGTACATACCTTCGATACAAGCACAAAATAGGTATCACACTGTTCCTTTGGACCCCCATGGAGCAACATAAATTCTTCAGTTATTTAGCCCCGCGCCAACTTGGGGTGCCTCATAGATCAGTAATTGGTCCTGTACTATTTGAAATGAAATCGGGTTTAGCGTCTTACTCCGTATAACAAGTAAATCCATCTCAATTGACAAAATAAAGCTACAGCAAGTGCATATTCAAATGGAAATATACCAATTAAAAAGAACATGTGAGAAAATAGTTAAGATTAATAAGACTTCAGCCAGGCCGGTCACAATAAATTTAGCATTTATAATAATCTTCATCATAATCGACTTTTTCATTATATAATAGTAGGTGACCATTCCAATAGTAAATGCACTTTCTAGTCACTAATAATTGCCAGAATAATGTCTGGTTCATAATAATTTCCATCCGCCATATACTAAAAGCTCTGGTAGCAGAGCATTCAGTCCAAACATGGCCCGGCAATTTTATCGATCTTTAGGTCCTCATCTTTATCGTTGATTACAAGAGTAAAATATTGTTCAGGTATCAAGTCTTTCATGACGACGTAATCTTGTAGAGGCTTTGGTAAACCAACTTGGGTTATTTTACTGCTGATTCCTGATCCGATACAGTTTCTGATTTCTCTTCTACATCTTGTCTTCAAACTTCTTGATTTACAGAAGTGAAGGAATGCACCTAGTTGTTTTGTAGTTGTATCTTTTGATCCGTTCGACAAAACAATGGTCTTCGGTGCACCACTTTCAAAAAGAATTTTTGACATTATCAACCTATATCTAAACGGACATTTATGTATGAACCGTCGACAGTCCAATTCTTTGAGAGAACAGTTCTCTGTAACAAGATACCATAGAAGAGCTGCTTCGTTTCTTTCTAGTAACCATTGAAATAGAGTTTTGCTATCTTTTCCCGGAGAATCCAGACGCACATGGTGTGTACTGATCAAAAGTAATTTTAGACAGTTCATCCATTTCCGACCATTACAGCATGAAAAGCTAATATCCCATTTCTATCAGTTTTATTAACATCCGCCCCAGCGTTTAGTAAACTTTCTACAAGAGCATCGCTAACGCTGGAATATACGTCCACGTTCCAGCTTTGATTGAGAATGAAAAGGAGGCTAGGCGTTGGGTTTGTTTTGCCAAATTTACAGACAAAATATTAACAAAAAAGTGGGTATGACACTGCCCCAGGAGGTTGGGGCATGCACCAAAATAAATAGTTGCTGTCTTTACGGTATAAGGAATAAATATGCAAAATTCCAAGATGATCCATTCAGAATTGCAGCCTGTAGATGATAAATACAAAAATCGGGTGTGGCTCTGCCCCTGGGGGTTGAAAATGGAACAATATAAATAGGCACCACCCTGTTATTGAAATGACAACATCAATAGTTGCCATCCTTAGGGTATAAGGAATAAGTATACCAAGTTCCAAGATAATCCTTTCAGTAAGGGCATTCACCAAAATCAATAGTTGACACCCTTAGGCTATAAGGAATACATATGCCAAGTACCCAGTTAATCCATTCAGAATTGCGGCCTGTAAACGATAAACACAAAAATTGGGTGTGGCTCTGGCCCTGGGGGTCACCGGACATGCAGTTGTCATTCTTAGGGTATAAGGAATAGGTATGCAAAGTTTCAAAAGGATCTGTTAAGAATTGTGGCCTGTAGGCGAAACACAAGACACACAAACATTGGGCGGGGCTCTGTCCCAGGGGGTCGGGCATCCACCAAAAATAATAGAGGTCAGCCTTAGGGTATAAGGAATAAGTATAAAAAAGTTTTCAAGACGACTGATTAAGCATTGCAAGCTGTACTGACACACATAAAGAAAATGGGCGTGCCTCTGCCCCTGGGGGTTGGACATTCACCAAAAACTATAGGGATGTGGTTCTTGTCGGACATTTTACCGAAAATAAAGGGGCATAACTCTTATCGTTATTTAAGCAGAAGAATTCATACCACAATTAACTAGAAATGGGCGTGGCTCTGCCCCTGGGGGTCGGGCATGCACCAAAAACAATAGGGATCACGAAAAGAAAAAGGGATGTTCCTTAGGGTACAAAGAATGTGTATGCAAAGTTTCAAGATTATTAGTTAAGAAATGTGGCCTGTAGACGACAAACAAACAAATACTAGAAATGGGCGTGGCTCTGCCCCGGGGGGTCGGGCATGCACCAAAAACAATAGGGATCTTCCTTGGGGTATAAGGAATAAGTATACCAAGTTTGAAGAAAATCCATGAAGAATTGCGCCCTGTAGGCGAACCACAGACACACACACACACACACACACATACATACATACACACACACACACACACAGACAGGGGCGACGGCATAATACGTTCACATTATGAATGTGGACGTATAAAAATAGATCTATTACAGTGTTTCGTGCTGCTGTCACCAAAGGCGTCTTTCCATTGCCATTACTCAGATTAGCATCAGCTCCAGCTTTTAGTAAATTATTAACTATATTCCCGTTATTCAGTTTCACGGCAAGTACCAATGCTGTATTTCCCTTTTTATCGACATTGTTTAAAGATGCACCAGATTTTAGCAAATCTTCACATAGAATTTCTTTTCGTTTCTCAACTGCTAATATTAACGCTGTTTTGCCATTCTTATTACAAATATTACAGTCTGCACCATTCTGTATTAGGAGTGATAAAATAGTTCTATCCGTGTTGTCTACAGCAAACATCAACGCAGTCCTACCACAGTGGTCTTGTAGGTTCCTATTACAGCGAGTTATGAGTAGTTTTTGTACAATGGCTTTCCTTCTTGCTGCGACTGCCTCCATCAAACATGTTGTACCATATTTATCTGCGGCATTAACGATGCTCTCTGCTTCACCTCTCAATTTTGCAAACTATAGTAAAATATTTAACATCGCTGAACTTTGATCTGATGTTACAAGAAATATTACATTTCTACCAAAGCCATCTTTTAGTTTCAGATCGGCCCCCGCCTTTAGTAAAACCTCTACCATCACTTTGTTGCTCTCTATCACTGCTGTCATCAGTGGGGTTTGTAGAGTGTTACCGCTATAGTTTACATCGGCACCAGCCTTCAGTAAGTCTTCGGTAATAGATATTTCTCCATTATATACCGCGATGGACAACGCAGTTTTTCCTTCGACGTCACTAATATTCACGTTTATTCCCTTCTGTAGCAGCAACGTATTTATTAATTTCATTTTTTGATAAAAAAAAATGTTCCGACATTTGCATTGCTTTGTGCAGCGCTGTTTCTCCGTTTCGATTTTTTGTGATTTATGTCACAATCTTTTGATGTCAGCCATGTCACCAAGTCTAATTTACCTTTTTCGCAAGCAACAGCAAGGGGTTTATCTCCATTTTCGTCTACCGTATTGACTTCGATACCGTGTTCAGTAAGTAATAATGCCGTTTTATAATGGTCCTTACTGATTACTTTGCACAGCAGATTATCACATTTGTGAGCACCAGCCTCTATCAGTATCTTAACAATATCTGCTGAATAAGATTGATCGTACGAATGGCTGTCAGAAGGAAATATATAGTCCAAAACAAAAGCGTCATTGTTATCTTTAGCGTTCACAGACGCCCCGTGCCAAATAAGTTGTTTAACTACACCAAGGTCACCCATCTCCACGCATTCCATTAAAGGTGTAACGCCGTTTTTATCCGTGCTGTTAACATCACACCCAGCTTGAATCAGTATTTCAGCAATAGTCGTATTACGTCTTCTTATTGACACCATTAATGCAAAGTCTTATGTACATGCCTACTTTAATATTGACATCACAACCTGATTTAATTAATGACTTCACCATCTCTTCATTTTCTTGACATACTGCTAAATACAGCGGAGTTTCATTCGATGAGTTCAGTTTGTTTATGCCCACACCTTTATTTATTAATAGCTGAACACATTCTTCGTACGAATTTGATTTTCCATCACTCTCTGCAAGACAATGCAGAAGGGTACCCTGTTTGTTTTCCATTACCAGGTTTGCTCCTCTCTTTACCAAATATATTACCGTAGTCACCCTACCACGTTCTGCAGCCAATTGGACGGGCGTTGTCCCATTAATATCGTGTAGATTAACATCCGCTCCTGCCTCCACCAATAATTTTACACAAGCAAGAACTCTCCCTTGCTTCCATTTACCAATATAACATTGCGACAAATAGTTCCTCCCACCTATGCAAACGTGAAGGGCAGAATATTGACCTTTCTTTGTCTGTTTATTAATGGTATGTATTAGTTCACTCTTTAACAAAATCATCAAACTTCTAATGTGTAATTTATGGCAACATAACATTAATAACGTTTCCTTTTTGTTAAGGTTTTTATCTAGATCTTTGAGTTCAAAAAGATATCTGAGCACCTCGACACTATTGTTTAGGACGCACTCAATTAGAATTAGAAAAGTGGTGTCTAAAAGGGGACAGAGATATATACAGTCAGTATATGAACAAACAAGACGTGTTCTAGGAGTAAACCTACCCAGCCTTGGCAATTACAATATCAAAATTTAGAAAGTGGTTGCTAAATTTGGAAAAGGGTGAGGTTTGATAATATAATTCAAGCTGGCTATCGATATATAGGCGCCTATCGGGCTCCCATAAAGTCTTTAAAACGATTTTTTCATTACCTTCACGTTTAATATTAAAAGCAAATCAATCTTAATCTGTATCTTCTCAAACAGACTATCAATATAGAAAAGTAGATCACCCGTGACGAGTCTACTTATAGTCTATCTATATGACGTTAAATCCCCATTTCATTTCATTTATCTATAGGGATGCTACGGAGTCTTTATTTTTGGGGGAATTACAAACGAAAAATGGGTATCAAACTATTATTGTAGCAATATGACTCCTCCTGAGTAGTCATTGTTGGCGAGTAGCTCAATTCTGAATAGGTCAAATCCACCTTAAATGCACATCAAAGGTGGGCTTGGATAATGATACGATTTGTCTTTGTATGCCCCCACTGCTTCACACCAAGACCCACTTAAGACTAGCCTATATCGTGTCGCTAATTGGCAAAGTTGGGTGGTAACACTGACAAGGCTAAGATCTGGCCTCTCGTGACCCCAATGCACCCCCCCCCCCCAAAAAAAGAAAAATAATAATAATTTGAAAGTTATCTTATCAAAACTATATAGCGTTCACTTGGTTTTCAGCAAAGGGTGTACCTCGACAACGAAAGGTTGCAGTGCACTGAAAATTGATCTGGTTGCTCCCTAAGACTGGTATCTAAATCCGAAACAACAGACTAGCAATACTGCATCAAAAGTCTTAGTTAAGTAGGTTTTAGGGGCAGAACATGCACACGGCGAATGGCATAGCATACTACCAGCTGCTGCCAGGCAAGATACGTCCACAATTTGCAAGAGATGGACAGAGAACAAACTGGAAAAAAACACCATTTTTCGTAGTCAAGAGGCCATAATCCAGGAATTGTGACCTTTATAGGATCCACAACCTTCGTATTACATACTTGTACACAATTCGCGTGCAATGAGCGGCCATTTTGTCGGGCCGTTTCGTTTTGATTCTCACGAAATTTGAATTCAACCATCATTAGGGTGTAACGGTGATATCGATATGCGCGAATATCGACAGGAACCAAGATCTTTGAGTTGCAAACATGTATTTCAAGTTTCATCAAAATTGTGGCCTCTAGAGTGTCAAAAACCTTGATATACCATATATTTACACTATTTGCGTACAATGAGCGGCCATTTTGTCCGGCAGTTGTGGTCCGATTTTCACGAAACGTGAACTCAACCTTCATTACGATGGAAAGGTGATATATTCAAATGGATAACAATTGTGACCACAAGCTAAAAAAGGTGATTTTTTCGTACAATCAAGGGCCATATGTTTGAATATCGAAAGGAACCAAGATCGTTGGGTTATATCATAAACATGCATTTCAAGTTTCATCAAAATCAGATGAAAATTGTGACCTTTCGAGTGTCCACAAGCTAAAACGTGATACTTCGTACAATCAGGGGCAATAATCCATGAAATTTCGATCCGATACATGTCAATAGCAAAAGGAACCGAGATCGTTTGGAGATAAACCTATAATTCAAGTTTCGTCAAAATCGGGTAAGAATTGTGACCTGTCGAGTCTCCACAAACAATTGTGGACGGACGTCCTGGCGGACAGGGGCGACGACAATATACGTGCACATGAAAATGTGGGCGTATGAAAATGAAAAGACAAAGGAAATATAGTTTTATGTATTTAAAATTAAAAGACATTTTTAAAAAAACAAATATGAAAAAGCAACAATAGGGACGCATCGGTACGAAAACGAACATATGAGAATTCAGTTCCACACGGTAATGTTGGTTTTTGGGGTTTTTTTCATTGGCCGAACACTCATGTACGGATTGACGTCACAGGTACACACGAATCGATGACGTATTCGTACCGATGTGAAGAATCCCTATTAACTATGTTATATAAAAATTGACCCAGTAGTCAGCACAGCTAAACTAACCCAGACAAATTATCGTGACCGATTGCAGAACGAAGGTAGTGTGTATTTGAGCTGAAAGCCGGATTATAGAATAAAGGTAGTATTGCATGTGTTTCAGCCGACCAAAAACTACACCATTTGTTCGTATGGTAAATTGTAAAATCAGCGGCAGCCAGACAGGATACGCCCACATTTTGCAAGAGATAGATAGAGAACAAGCTAAACAAAAAGCGATTTTTCGTACAATCAGGGACCATAATTCAGGAAGTTACGATCCGATATGCGCAAACATGGAAAGGAACCAAGATCTTTGGGTTATAAACTTACATTTCAAGTTTCATCAAAATATTCGCAAATATCGAAAGGAACTAAGATCTTTGGGTTATAAACTTACATTTCAAGTTCCATCAAAATCAGAAGAAAATTGTCATCTCTAAAGGGTCCACAACCTTGATATACCATATTTTTACGCTATTTGAGTACGAGGGACGGCCATTTTGTCTGTCAGTTTATCTCCGAGTTTCACGAAATTCGAACTCAACCATCCTTAGGGTGTAAAGGTGATATATTCAAACTTTTTTTTTTAAATCGGATAATAATTGTGACCTCTAGAGGAACTCAAGCTAAAAACGTGATTTTTCGTACAATCAGAGACCATAATTCAGGCCGTTACGGTCAGATATGCACGAATATCGAAATGAACTGAGATCTTTCGGTTATAAACTTATATTTCAAGTTTCATCAAAATCAGAAGAAGATTGTGACCTCTAGATGGTCCACAACCTTGACATACCCTATTTTACGCTATTTGAGAACGAGGGCGGCCATTTTGTCTCTCAGTTTTGGGCCGATTTGCATGAAATTCGAACTCAACCATCCTTAGGGTGTAACAGTGATATACTAAAACGTTTTTTTTTTTCAATCGGATAAAAATTACTACCTCTATAGGGTCCACAAGCTAAAAACACGATTTTTCGTACAATCAGGGGCCATAATTCAGGAAGTTAAGGTCCGATATGCCCGAATAGCGAAAGGAGCTGGGTTCTTTGGGTTATAAACTTACATTTCAAGTTTCAACAAAATTGGATAAAAATTATGACCTCTATAGGGTCCACAACCTTGATGTACCATATTTTTACGCTATTTGAGAACGAGGGCGGCCATTTTGTCTGTCAGTTTTAGGCCGATATTCACAAAATTCGAACTCAACCATCCTTAGGGTGTAACGGTGATATACTAAAACGGGTTTTTAAATTGGATAAACATTATGACCTACACAGGGTCCACAAGGAACTGAGATCTTTGGGTTATAAACTTACATTTCAAGTTTCAACAAAATTGGATAAAAATTGTGACCTCTATAGGGTCCACAACCTTGATATACCATATTTTTACGCTATTTGAGAACGAGGGCGGCCATTTTGTCTGTCAGTTTTGGGCCGATATTCACGAAATTCGAACTCAACCATCCTTAGGGTGTAACGGTGATATACTAAAACGGGTTTTTAAATTGGATAAACATTATGACCTACACAGGGTCCACAAGCTAAAAACGCGATTTTTCGTACAATCAGGGCCATAATTCAGGTAGTTACGTTCCGATATGCGCGAATATCGAAAGGAACCGAGATCTTTGGGTTATAAAGTTACATTTCAAGTTTTATCAAAATAGGATAAAAATTTGTGACCTCTATGTGGTCCACAAGCTGAAAACGCGATTTTCGGTACAATCAGGGGCCATAATCCATGAAGTTTCGATCCGATACATGCCAATATCGAAAGCAACCGAGTTCTCTTGGGGATAAACCTATATTTCAATTTTCGTCAAAATCGAATAAGAATTGTGACCTGTAGAGTGTCCACAAACAAATTGTGGACGGACAGGGGCGACGACAATAACGTCCACATGAAAATGTAGGCGTATAAAAATGGAGTGTTGGATCTCATCCAGAGAGTTCTTTACAAGGACATGCGATTAAAAAATTGTTTTAAACAAATGAGTTTCGGAGTGTTAAAATATTGTTGAAGGGGGTGGGGTGGTGGTGGGCTCCTTTCCCCTCCCCTCACGCAAAGCGTCTAATGGAGTCTGTAAGGTAAAGTTTGTATTAATAATCGAATATTGCCTGGACAGCGGCTATTCCGCTCGCGTTCTATATCTTATTCGCGGTGCATTTTTAAAATCGTACGAAGCGATTGTTCGAAAACTAATTGAGTGCTTAACGATAGTAGCGCATAACTGTGTTCAGATTGTTATAAAATGTTAAACGGAAATTGTATTCGCATAAAACTGTATTTAAAGCGGCATGCTGATTTTTCTTAAGTAAACAGTTTCCTTTCTAGCAACATAAACTCTTTAATTGAGAAACAACATATAACTAAATGATAATCTACTAAGGGGTACTGTAGATCCTATCCAATAGATAAGACTGGTTAACCTGACCTAATACGTCAGACTCGTTCCTACGTCACTCCTTCCTGACTCAAATAACGCCGACACGTAGGAACAAGCTTGACGTGATTTAGGACCGGTTATCCAGTCTATGTACATCCGAAATCGGACCCATGTGGAGTTCAACATAGGGCCTATATAATTATTATTAGCTATTATTTTTTTAAAAAAAAATATTTTATTCAGAAATTAGAAGTGATTGAGGAACAGGCATACGAACAGCCACCTATATGACTTCTCTCGTGACCCAGATAATCCCTACCCTTTACAAAACCCAAGTTACAAATAGACTCATCAATATGCAGGGCGGCCATGTTGGGCTCAACGTGGGTCCAATTTACCTTCCACCCTACCACCAATCACAGCTAATAGCTATGATTATCCAGTTGACAACAGTATGGCTTAACCAATATTATCGATTATCCAGATCACAACCGCATACCCTGACCAATAGTAATGATTATCCAGTTGACAACAGTAGACCATAACCAATAGCTATGATTATCCAGTTGATAAAGAAAGGTAAACTAAAGAAATTGATAACAAGTGCACTTTCCAATTTAAAGTAACTTTGTAGTCAATAGTCAGACGAATCATAATAAGAAATGTCAGAATCGTAGATTGGCTGATAATAACTTCCATCATTGCTATCATCAGAGTCATATTCGTCATAAATGGGAAAAGCACTGGATGGCATCAATTTAAACATTCGCCTGGCAATATTATCGGTTCTGACATTACTATCATCTTTGTCGTTTATTACAAGAGTAAAATATTTCTCGGGTATCATGTCCTTCATGATGACATAATCTTGTAGACATTGTGGTAAACCAACTTGTGATATTTTACTTCTGATTCCTGGTCCGATACAGTTTCTGATTTCTCTTCTACATCTTAACTGTAAACTTTTTGATTTACAAAAACCACGGAAGTCATCGAGTTGTTTATCTTCAGATCCTTTCAGCATCGGATCATATGTGGAAATAAAGGTCTCTATTTCACTATTCGGTGCACCACTTTCAAACAGAATTTTAGAAAGCATCAACATATCGGAGAAAAGAAATTTATCTTCGGCATTTGGAAGATCCAAACCTTTGAGAGAACAATTTTCCGTTACGAGATACCATATGTGATCTTCTTGGGTTTTTTCCAGTAACCATTTCAATAAAGTTTCCCCTTCTTCTCCTGGAATATCTAGAGACGACGGGTGGCATTTATTAATTAAAAGTAATTTTAGGCAGTTAATCCACATACAACTACTACTACCACCAACCATTATACCGTGTATAGCTGATCTTCCATCTGTATCAGTTTTATTAACATCAGCTCCAGCTTGTAGTAAACATTCTAAAATAGATCTATGACAGTTTCGTGCTGCAGTCATCAAAGCCGTCTTTCCATTGTTATCGCTAAGATTAACATCAGCTCCAGCTTGTAGTAAATATTCTAAAATAGATCTATTACAGTTACGTGCTGCAGTCATCAAAGCCGTCTTTCCATTGTTATCACGCAGATTAGCATCAGCTCCAGCCTTCAGCAAACCATTTACAATATTCCAGTTATTCAGCCCGACTGCAATCGCCAATGCTGTATTTCCCTTATTATCAACATGATTTACAGATGCATCAAATGTCAGCAAACTTTCACACTGAATTTCTTTTTGTTTTTCAACCGCCAGCATCAACGCCGTTTGGCCATTGTTAACATAAATATTATAGTCAGCGTCATTCTTTAATAGAAGTGATAAAATAGTTTCATCCTGATTGTCTACAGCAAACATCAAGGCCGTCTTACCAAGATGGTCTTGTAGGTTGATGTTACAGCCAGCTCTGAGTAGTTCTTCTACCATAGCTTTAGGTCCTCTTTCTGCTGCCACCATTAAAGGTGTTTTACCATCTTTATCTGTGGCATTAACGATACTCTCTGCTTCACTTCTCAAATTTGAATATTTAAGAAATAAGAAAAACATCTAAATCCAGTGAAACTTTAAAGAGTGCTGCAAGGTGTATCGCATTTCTACCTAATCCATCCCTCGGTTTCAGATCGGCACCAGCTGTTAGCAAAATATGTGCCATAACAGTATCCTTTTTGGTCACTGCGATCATCAATGGGGTTTCTCGGAGCGTATCGCAATGATCTATGTGGGCACCAGCCTTCATTAATACTTCCGTAAAAGATCTTTCTCCTTTAGCTGCTGCCATGGACAAGGCGGTTCGTCCAGCGAAGTCACTAAGATTCACGTTCATTCCTTTCTGTAGTAACAACGTATTTATTATTTTTTCCTTGTCTTGATAATAAGTATTATAGCTCGAAACACTTATAGCTTTGTGCAACGCTGTTTCTCCAAATTGATTTTGATGATTTATATCACAATCATTTGTTGTCAGCAATGTCACTAATTCTAATTTACCTTTTTCGGAAGCTAGACCAAGGGGGTTATCTCCATTATCATCTAACGAATTGACATCAATGCCGTTTTCAATAAGCAATGAAGCCGTTTCATAATCTTCCCCATCAATTGCTCTGCACAACAGATTATCACATTTATGAATATCAGCCCCAGTCTCTATCATAATCTTAATAGTATCTGCTGAAGTAGATCGATCGTTCGGACTGTGGTAAGAATGAAATAAATAGTCCAATACAAAACATCCTTCGTTATCTTTAGCGTTCACAAATGCGCCGTGGCCAATAAGTTGTTTGACTAAAACTTGGTTATTAGTTTGTATACATTCCATTAATGGCGTAACGCCGTTTTTATCAGGGGTGTTAACATCACACCCAGCTTGAATCAGTATTTCAGTAATAGTCGTCTTGCTATTTCTTATTGGCTCCATTAATACAGATTTCATGTCTTTGCCTACTTTAATATTGACATTACACTTTGATTTAATTAATGACTTCACCATCTCTACATTTCCTTTACAGACTGCTAAATACAGCGGAGTTTCATTCGATGAATTTAGTTTGGGTTATTAATAGTTGAACACATTCATCGTACGAATCTGACATATGGCCACTCTCTGCAAGACAATGAAGAAGGTTACCATGATGATTTCTAGTATCGAGGTTTGCTCCTCTTTGTGTCAAATATATTACCGTTGTCACCATACCATTTTCAGCGGCCATTTGGATGGGCGTTCTCCGATTAATATCTTCTAGATTAACATCCGCCCCTGACTCCACCAATAATTGTACACATCCTAAAACTCTCTCCGGCTTCCTTTCACCAATATCATATTTCCGCAAATCGTTGCGTCCACCTATACAAACGTGTAGGGCAGAATATTGTGATGTCCGGTGATTGGTTGTATTTATTAGTCCACTGTCCAACAAAATCTTCGAACTTTTGATGTTTAGTTCATGGCAACATAAAAATAACATTTCCTCCACTATTTCCTGGTGTTTATCTTGATATTTGAGTTGAAGGAGATACTTTAACACCTCAACGCTTTTGTCTCGGACGCACTCATTGAGGGCGCCCCAGTTGTATCTTGATGCAAAATATTGAGGTATTCCTTTGGAGTGGAGAAATTTAACACCCTCAAGAAAATCCGATTATTGCAGCCTTTATTAGTTGTGTATTGGTCTCAAAATCTGCAAGGTTATGAGAAATTCTGTCTGATAGCAGAAACAATTTCACCATAGGCAGACATTTGTTCTGAAGAACAACTTTACAGAGTTCTATCCACATCAAATTTGGCAAACGGTGGTACCCCCATTCCACATACTCCTGTATCATTCTTTCTACATCAACTGTATTATTTTTATTTACAGCCTCTCTTAACCTGAAATAATAATCAATGTTAAAGATAGGTTGCCATGCAACGAAACACCAACACAAGAGACCTTTCTGATCTGAAACAGATAATAAAACCAAAAATAATTGATGTGCACATTCCTATTAAATTCTCAAAACACGGGATACCAGTCATCATTACGTATGGTTTCTCAGACGAATTTTACTATTTGATAGGCATACAGTATTTTAATACTATGTATAGTTAATGTTGTGCAAATCGGTGTTTTAAAAATCGGAAATAACCCAGCATAAAATTTCCTTCCAGTAATAATTGGGCAGGTATATGGATTCCTTAAATCATCTACATATAAATATTGGATTTGAATAACTAAGATTAGAACAAGCCAACAGTGAGGCTGGTGTCATCTGCCGAAATACCAAAATACATAGATGACACATATTAATTAATCTCACATTTTCTTTTTTTCAAAAGTATCGAGCAATCAAACTGATTATAAACTATACACTAAGTTTGATTATAAACTATACACTAAGTTTCACCACTCTCTATCAGATAGAATCAATCAAAGTTATCTTGTCCGAAAGCATCGATCAATGAAATTGCTTAGCTTTAGCTCGAAATTTTAAACATTGAACTCCGTCAAGACATTCACCTAATGGACATCTACATCTAGTTTAAACAACATAGCAGTGTTGTTATGTTCCAAAGTCTTGACCAATCGAATTTTATTGCTTATCGCTCCTTAGCCTAAGCAGAAAATTCTCATAATCGAACTTAAGTCAAGGTAATGATATAATGAATCTATACTCGGGAGTTCCGTCGCTCTCACTTAATTATAACCAACGTTATCGTGCCCCAAAGCATCAAACAATCAGATTGCTTATCTCTGCTTACCCTAAGCAGACAATGTACATCATCGAACTCCATCAAGTCATCTCTCTGCTTACCCTAAGCAGAAAATGCTCATCTTCGCACTCCACCAAGGCATTGTCCTAATAAACACCTACACAAAGTTTGAACATTCTAGCTCAATTAGAAGGAGAGTTATTATGTCCCAAAAAGTGTGACGGACTGAGAGACGAACGAACCCATTTTAATATTTAATAGTCCCCTGTGTTCTTCGAAAGGCGGCGGACAATAAGAGTTAAAGAAATAAAATGGTGAAATAAGGGGTCGACTCCACAAAATAATAAACCGAATCTTAGTTGGGGATAAGACTGACATTAAATAGCATGTCATGATCATACATGGTACCAATTATATATATATATATCATGCTATCTCATGCTAATGACAATTAATGGACCCAATTCAGCAAATATTCCGACGCCGTCACTCGCTAATGAAGGTTAAGAGGTTGAAATCTAGGGCGGAAATTTCATATTGCTGGTCTCTACTTCCAGTTTGTGTATCTCAAGTTTTCCATGAAGACCCTCATACGTGCTGCTCTATCTGTGGTAGAAAGCGTTCTACCCAACGAATATTTGAAAAAAAGTTAGAGCTGGCCTTAGAGACGGGAACTAACATTAAAGTCGATGTGGAAATCAATGGTGATCTATGGCCAAATAGAATGTACCACCATAGCATATTTGCAATCATAGATTATATTCGTGTTACAAGCCTAACACTTGATCACAAAACAGTTCTGTGTCAGAGATGTTTATTAGCATGATTATTTAATATGTGGGGGCTAGGTGGTTAAGACGCTGGCTCCCTAGCCAGCTGTCTAGTCCCTCGGATGAGACGAAAAACCGAAGTCCCGTGGATACATTAGAATGCACGTAAAAGATCCCTTGGCAGTTGGAATTCGATATAAGAGTGTCGCTGTTCGAGAAAAATTTCCTTCATAGCACACTGTATGGCGTATGGGAGCAGAACACTAGGACGTTAAACCCCATTTCATTCATTTATTTAATATGTATTTTGTGTTAATTGCATTATTATTTAATGTGTATATGTGTTGTGTCATTTGATGTATGGCCGAAGCTTAGAGCAGTTCACATGTTTACATTATATGTATAATCGAATGGTACAATCGGTATATACATGTATATATAAAAGTTATGACCAACTTACTGTTCTTTGTTAGGGTGACCCACCATAAATTAATATTACCATATATCTCGACAATTACGCCACAATATTTATATATATGCCAAGCCTCAAATCAGTTTCACACAATTATAGTCACTAAATAAACGATCATGCTGTACTTAATAAGCTATGACCATTAATCATGTATAAATAATAGACTGAAAACTGGTTCCAAGAGTCGTCCATAACATCCAGACACTTTTGAGTAAAAGATAGGTTACGTGCCCTTGTTTTGAAATTAGTCTCGCTTAACCAGTCTATCGACCATTCTACGTCTGATTGACAGGTCGGGATAATCAAGACTACTTTTTTACGAAACATAACAGAAAGCTAGAACAAGAAATTGAATTTAGAAATAAGCACGTTAGGTAGCTCAACAATCGTTTTAAGAAGCTTGTAAAAGTAAAATGAAACTACTGCTAGTATCATGTTCCTGTCTAACCTGAGTGATTCAGAGATATTATTTGTACTAAACCAAAAGATGCGGCTCTTAACGGTACAGTTAATGATAAAGCGATTTAAAAACTGAAACGAACGTAATTTCTAAATCTACTGTAATAACCAAGAAGCTTCATTTTACTGCTATTCAAAATCGTCAACAATAATTTTTTTACGGCTGTAATAGTTGATAGATTTGTAGAGAATTGCACGTGCCATGGCTATTTATAGTATCATACTGTCAGAAAGTTGGTCTCGGCGCGGCGAATGTGCACGCTTCAGTGGTAGTCTCGAACTATCAGCGGTGGACTGTATTTCTGTGAGTACATGGGTCACCCTATCTTTGTATTTCTCTGATTTACGCAAAGAATCCTCTGGTTCACACCCACTCATCGTAACAAGTCCAACTAAATACAATGTAAATAAGTCAAATTGTACGTAAATTGGTTACAGCAAATCTTGTTTAGACATACCAATAGTCTCGTATAACCATAAACAGTAACGTTGAAGGATTTCACATGTCTGGGTGAACAGGGTAAAATCTTTTTATAGCTAAAGTATGTAATTCATTTTCTAGGAAACACTATTTTTAGAATGTAAAACGAAAGTGAAAGAACAATGTTGACTGGGGTAAGACTAATAAACATTCACCCTACATTCGTCAATGTTAATTTCATAGGACATAGATGTCCCATGGTCATTGTCGAACGTGGATAAGTGCTAATTATAGATTTAATCTCCGATTTTCTGACCAGCCATATTCTGAATAGCTGATTAAATTTTAAACTAGGATTTTTTTTTTTATAAACTTTGATTAGGTTAATTTAGTCATCTCGGTGGGAGGGGGGTAGTTTAAGGAAGGATTGAGTGCATGGATATACAATTACAATGTATTGAATGCTATAGAAATTATTATTTTTGATTGAATTCAGACACATTGCACTTATATTTTGCCACGAACGCAACAAATTCACATTTACCGTAAATTAAACATTCTCTATAATATAAAACATAAATAATTATGTATACTCATAGTCAAACTGAATAAACTACAAGATACATATAATTTTCAAAACTGTCAAAGAACATTTTTAACATATTTTCACATATTTGTTTCTTTGGTCAATAATGAAAACATTTACAACGCTCTAAAATCAGAGAACAGCCCATACTAGGCCTATTACAAAAAAGTAAAATAAATTATCGGTACCAAATTTTCAACATAAAAAAACGGGCATGGCAGTTTCAAAATCCGATTTAAACAAAAACTACCAACTCTAAAAATTCAAACTAAACATTTCTGTAAATCGTAGGACACGTACTTATAGAGCGCAAGTTTTTAAAGCAATGAATTTTATTTTTCATTATTAAATTATTGGTTTATTGTATTCTAAAAAATACCCTTTACAAACGATATCATCACTGTATCGGTCTGTATTTCCCTATAAAAAATGTTTAACGCTTTATAATTGTCGATTAAATAAATTAATCTGTAGGGACCTAAATTCCTCCGAAAATTAATATACGTTCATCGTCAGTTTGCCGATTGTTTACATTAGTTTTCGCGGCTTCTGCCCTGAAGGTGTGGCACTACGGTGTCGTTAAATAGATGAATTATGAATTACTTCCACGTTGTGTTTACGGCCCGTGACACAATGATCAATTTGGAACTAACCTTGGCTTCACGTTGTGCATATGATCAATTCACTCTGGAACACTTTGTTGGTTTACAACTATGTTTATATATATATATCAAATACAGGAAACTACAACATCTATGATAGTACAATAAGAGTTATTATAATATATACAGTCCCAGTTTAAAAAGCCTGTCTCTATCCCGGCCTCAAACCAGAGGCTGTGGGTATGATGTTCTCCCGGAAACTCCGAATGATATCTTCTATATGGATCTTTCTATGATGTCTGAAGGGAAAAATAAAGAAGACACGTGCATGAGTCATGCATTGAGCGACGGGAAATTGACCAGGTACTACCTTTATCGGATTGGTCAGCTGCACAGACGCTATCCTAGATTTAAACGCGTTGTACTAATATGGAGCGTGTCTAAAGCATGGGATTACCCATATTCCTGAAGCAATGGCCCGAGAAATCCCTCTCTGGCCATTGCTGGATTAGCTTCTGATACTTGCGCTTTTGAGGGAGTGTGTCTATTCTTCCCGTTCAATCAAATCTACCCAAAAGCACAGCAACATGACAGCCCTTCTTTTAATCTGGGGCTTTCCTAAAACTTTGGACAGTGATTTAGGGTATTAAAAGCGGTGAAAGTGTTGCTCGTCTCAAAACAATATTGTTTACATGATATACACAGTTTAAAAATCGTGCTGACAGTTGATAGCCTTGTTTGTCACACAATTAGTTTTTCTGCAATATTCTGCTATGCACTGGTTAATTGGGAATATTAAAATCGTGAGTCATGACGTAACGTTATGTAAACATATTTGGTCCAATGTGGAGCTATGTTTAAATCGTAATGATATTGTTACGCAGTAAGCTATTGGTTGTTAATCGGACTATTGACCAGTCATAATTTAGAACAAGAATGTGCACTCTGTACAGCAGTGAGTAGTGGGATTAGCTCTAATCAAACGAAACACTGCGAGGAGTATGGGGATTACCATATTTGGATTAGCAGACTATGATGTCATTGCCCGAGTTTAATCTACCAGACATATTCTTGTTAGCCTAGTTCTTGTTGTCACTGGTACTGGCTAATGACTTCAATACATTAACCAGAGCATCTTTTATAGAAAACTCAGATATCCTCTACTGTATATAGGCCCTGTAGTATTATAAAGGGAAATCGTGAGCTGTGTGCCATGGCAGCCCTGACCAATCATAAGGCGTAAGTGGTCTATCTATATATAGGTACGCCAGTGAAGCGGTAAACCGCTGACGTAATTTCGTCGTCGCAAGTCACGCTTCAGATACGCCAGCGCGATTTGCGTATCGGCTTTTCGTCCTCGCCGTATTGTTGATTGGTACGAAACTGCGGCTTCAAATGAGGTTATTTTCGTAAATAAAAGGCTAGCTTTTCGAATTTTTACTCTAGCTGCTCCGTCTGCAGAGAAATCTAAATATGAAAATGAAAGTAGAAAACAACACGATTTTTGGGACGGATACCAGAAAACCATAGGGTTCAAAATATATAAATTAGAAAATACATATATTAAACTTTAATTGTGCGAGTTTGCAATGAAATCGGTAGGTGCGGAGCCAAAATATGTAGTGCGGAAAATTTTTGATCCAGTTTCGCCGTGACTGCCATGTCAGAAAGTTAGAGAAATTTTACCACTAGCGACTGAGCGCGATGGCCTCACTTTTCCTTCTTTGTTCTTCAGACAAAAAGAGCGTTAATTACATGTAGCGACAATTAATTTGGCGTAACTCCATTAATATAGGGCCTTTCAAGCTCATTTTGGTGTCATTGTAAAGCTGTTGGACAGCCATACGGGATTTTTTAATTTTTTGTTGTCATACCTACTATATATGAAGTCAATGGCCTATATAATTCTAAGTAGACAAAATACATGTCACTTGCAAGCTGTCAATCAAACCACGTGATGTAAACAATTAGCAATGTGGCATGAATTGAGGCACAGTGTACTGTTCAGTATGAGTGAATTTACGCGACGGTTGTGTACTAAACGTTAAAGGAGATAGATCGCTAATATTTGGGACCTAGAAATTGACCCAAATGGGTCGCAACGCATATAATAATGTAATCTGATTGTATATTAACTGATTTACATTCAATTGTTTCCGTTTTGACTCTAATTTCAAATCAGTTAGGTCCAGCGAAATGCGGCATGAGTCTCAACCGAATAGAAATTTCTAGCGTCTGGTTATTCCAGTCTATTGCGCATGCTCTCAAGATAAGTTATGGCGTCGCCGTATGACATGGGTTGTGGAATATGTCTAGCCTCGCTCTTTCTGGTCTCTTGTTACAAATGACAATGAAACGCACTATGGTACACGATACGTGTATCAATAGTAAAATGTTTATTTTGTCTTAAATATTGGATATCAGAAGCCTACCTTTTCCCGGTAAGATAATGTAATGATTATACCATTTGCCTTCTATGTCATCCTCAGTTCTATACTATTGTCATGTTATTTCGTTATTATATCCAGATGTATTTTCTCCGCTTCCATTGTTTACTATTTGTTATTATTATGGGCTATGCGCAGTTATTATGCGCAATAGTCATGTTGCTAGTCAAATTTTCACGCTCACGTAAATCACACTTCGCCATTAAATAACCAATAAACTATGCATTGTCTTGGATCGTCCTGAATGTGATTTACTCCCGAATACCTTATTTGTAAACTACGACATAATAGGCTGTTGTCGAGCTTGTATAACTTTGTAATTCGTATTTTTCCTACAGCACAGCTATTTCCTTTCGCTTGTCAACCGGCATGGCGAAAGTGAAGCGCGAGACGCCACTTGGCATGCGCGGCTACACGCCGTCTTCTGATTGGCTAGTCGTTTTCCGCGGGTATTATAAATAGGGATCAGGGGCCGTATTTATAAAAATTCTAAGACTTCCTAAAACAACATTTAGTAAAAAGTCACTCTTTAGAAATATTTATAAAGGGTCTTAGAGTTACTTTTAACTAAATGTAAGACTTGGGTCCTAACCAAACTCTTAGCGATGTAACCATGGGAAATTCTGGGATTCCCTGAAGTTATTTATAGCTCAGTGTTGATGTCATGCGATCACTCTACTCACTGTAGGTTGACTGACGCCGAAATCGTCACCACTACACAGTTGCATTTTACCAGTAGCTAGGAAACGAAGCGTAATGGCGATCTTCATCTCAGCGTCGATTGAGAAATTTCGTTTAGTAGGACTCGTAAGTAGATGCCGAACTAAATCTGTCACAAAAAGAATCCCACCCATGTCCATTCGATATCTCCTTATCAACTCGTCATTGTTGTACTCCACTAAGAAATCTCTTCTTGTTTTAAACTCTTAGGCGGCGTACACGGACGGCCATGTTAACCAAGATAAGAGTACTTTTAACAAGTTAGGAGTGCTACAGGAGGACTCCTAAATATGTGTCATAGTTAGGAGTAATTCTTAAAGTAAAATGTTTTATAAATAGGTCTTAGGAAAATCTACAAAGTTAGGAGTAATTTTTGACAGTTAAGAGTTGGTTCCAACTCTTAGAATTTTTATAAATACCGCCCCAGGTCGCAAATGGAAAGATTGCAAAATCATATTCTAAAAACAGGTAGAAGCTTCGGCTCTCCTAGGCCTTGTCTGCGATATCACTTCTGTGGAAGCGGACGTTAAAACAACAGGTAGTAGTAGTATTTTGACAGATCGCCTTTTCACTGCAGATCTCTGTCAACCAATTTTCATTTCAATATGGTAAGGATTGCTTACGGTTATTACCGTGATTAAACAAGTTCGTGCTGCAACATAAGTAACCCAGTTCTATTCAATTATAAAGTGCATGTTACAAACATTTAAACATAGGCCTAAATGTTTAAAAGCTAACATGTTGTAATCGGAACATGTCCATGTTGCATTCATAACAAACCTGTTGTAATCACAAGGATTGGATTTTCAGACACTTGCTGCTGTTCTTGATTTAACTAGCATATTAATATAATTATAATACGTTTATTATAGTTTTACTACTTTACGTATTTATTGTCTAAACGTGTGTTCTATTGACAACTCACTGTTAGTGATAGGCCTATATTATTATTAATACTAATACAACTTATGAACTTGTTTTATTTATAACAGTTCCGCTTATAACGTGTTGCCATCGGTGACCTGCCCGATTTGCTTGATAGCTTATAGCAATCACTCATTCATTAATATTATAGCTTACAAGCATCTTATTTTTATTTATAAATTATTACATATTATATAGGCCTAAGTATAGTAAATATAGCCTATAGCTTACAAGCTTAACTGAATTGTAAAATATAATACATTGCATGTATTTATAATTATTACATAGTATTAATATATATATATATATATATATATATATATATATTACAGTCTTTCTTAACTGTTAATAAATTGTTGAGATTTTAAACTTGGCTTGTGTCAATCTTTCGATCGTAGTGCTAGGCTGGGAACAAACAATCCACATATATTTGTGTAGCACGTTTGCCTGGAAGCCTGTGGGGAAAGGGCGCGATACAGCATTAAGGGTCAGGGGGTCGAATCGCTACAATAACAAAATCAATGTTGATTTGAATTGAGACATACTTCTTGTGTTCAACGTGTAAGACTTATGGGTGATATTGAGTTATAGACTTAGCTACTTTAAAAAAAACCCATAAATTCGTGTTTATACTATCCTAATAAACAGCCCAATTGATCAGATTTTTGGCCAAAAGACGACTCGTGAACACAATAGAGCAGTAAACTTATGCCAAATCTATGGTTACTATAGAGCCCAGTAAGCGTGTTGAACCAACTATATCACTTCCGGTTTTACTAAAAATTAATTTCTCGCTTACAAAAACTTCTGCTACAGAGGGGATTATTTAAACTACAAAGAGTTAGTAGTTACGGTTATAATGTCTTCAGTCAGATAAATCAATGTAAGTGTCAGAAAAGTAGTCTGGTTCATAATAAGAATAGCTTCTATCATATAGAATCATATCCATCATCATCTTAATCGTTTATTACAAGAGTAAAGTATTTCTCGGGTATCAAGTCCTTCATGACGACATAATCTTGTAGACATTTTGGTAAACCAACTTGTGATATTTTACTGCTGATTCCTGATCCGATACAGTTTCTGATCTCTCTCCTGCATCTTGACTTTAAACTTCTGGATTTACAGAAACAACGGAATTCATCCAGTTGTTTATCTTTAGATTCTTCCAGCATCGACTTATATGCGGAAAGCGACAAACCATCATTGAAAACCGATAACAAAATATCGTTCTTTATCGATAACAAAATAATGGTCTCTAGTTCACTCTTCGGTGCACCACTTTCAAAAAGAATTTCAGAATGCATCAACATATCGGAAAATTGAAATTTATCTTTGACCTTTGAAAGATCCAAACCTTTGAGTGAACAATTTTCCGTTACGAGATACCATATGAGATCTTTTTTGTTTTTTTCCAGTAACCATTGGAATAACGTTTTTCCATCCTCTCCTGGAGTATCCAGAGAGGACGGATGACATTTATTGATCAAAAGTAATTTTAGACACTTAATCCATTTGCGACTCTTATCACCACCAACCATTATACCATGTATGGCTGATCGTCCGTGTGTATCGGTTTTATTAACATCAGCTCCAGCATTTAGTAAATATTCTAAAATAGGTCTATTACAGTTTCTTGCTGCTGCCATCAAAGCCGTCCTTCCATCGTTATCACTGAGATTAACATCAGCACCAGCGTTCAGTAAATTATTTACCATATTCGGGTTATTCATTTTGACGTATGTCATTAAAGGTGTGATGCCGTTTGTATCCGTGCTGTTAACATCACATCCAGCTTTAATCAGCATTTCAGCAATAGTCGTCTCTTGTCTTCTTATTGACTCCAGTAAAATTGGTGCCACGCCCTGGCCTACTTTAATATTGACATTACAACCTGATTTAATTAACGACTTCGCCATCTCTACATTTCCTTGACATACTGCTAAATACAGTGGCGTTTCATTATATGAGTTCAGTTTGTTTATATCAACCCCTTTCATTATTAATAGCTGAACACATTCATCGGAATAATCTGAAATGCCGTATCTCTTTGCAAGAGAATGAAGAAGGGTATCATGATGGCTTCTACTATCAAGGTTTGCTTCTCTTTGTGCTAAATACATTACCGTTGTGACCATACCACGTTCAGCAGCAATTTGGATAGGTGTTTTTCCATCAATATCTTGTAGATTAATATCCGCCCCTGCATCTACCAGTAATTGTACACAATCATGAACTCTCTCCGGTTTTCTTTTAACAAATCTTCCCATTTTCTTATAACAGTACCCTCCAACTATGCAAACGTGTAGGACAGACTGATGAAAATTCTTTGTCTGTTGATTGATTGTATTTATAAGTTCACTGTTCAACAATATCTTCAAACTTTCAATATTTAGATGTTGGCAACATAACATTAATAAGGTATTGGATTTGTCAGGATTTTTATCCAGATCTTTTAATCCAAGAAGATAGTTTAACACCCCGACCTTATTGGTTTCGACGCATTCAACCAAGGCGCTCCAGTAAAATGTCCCCGTTTGTGACATATAAAGTGGCACTCCTTTTGAGTGTAGGAATTTAACACCCTCCGCGAAATTCGATTCTATTGCAGCTTTCATCAGTTGTCTACAGGTGCCCATATTGTTAGCCATACTCTCGGGGGTAAACAATAATTTCACATTAGGTAGACATTTGTTTTTAAGGGCAATTGTACAGAGTGCTTCCAAACACCCTTGTCGTATGTCGCAGCCGTCCCCTAATGTCACGTAGTTACGTGCAATTCTTTCTACGACAACTGTATCATTTCTATTTACAGCCTCTTCTAACCTGAAATAAAAAGAAAACAATTTTGTTAAAGGGACAATAACACTCTTGCTGGCTTGACACCGCCAGAAAATAAATAATAGCCTAATTCTAAGTACTAGATGTTTAAGTGTCCTACCTGTTATGTAAATCATCTATTAAATCCTTTTTTACTTGTCCAGAGGGTTCGAAAATATTTTTAAATCCAAGTCACATTTGAAAAGGTTTGCGTTAGGCTTTTCAAATCATTGAGTTGAATTTTTCCAATTTTTTAAATTAGGTATGTGAAGATGAAATTTGTATCACCAATTAATTGGAATATTATTTAAAAAAAGTACAATTTGTTGACCAGAATAAAGATTGGGACATATTATTCAGTTACAACAAGAGTGGTATTGAGCCTTTAAAGGTAACACGGAAACTACATTCAACAATAATCGATGTGTCCTATTAAATTCGTAAATGACATAAAATGAGAGTTAACGTCGTACAGTTCTGCTCCGACTGGGCTAACTAAAACAGGCGTATGGGGTAAAAGCGTCCTACGAGCCAGGGCGCTACGGCCTACCCTTATATCGAATTCCAACCACTAGGGCTCTTTTTATGTACACGCCATCCGTTTTTAAGATCAACTTAGTTCTACCAAATACCCATAGTCGAGACACAGCCCTCAGAACCGTGATCATTTCTCGGGGAACAAGGTTAAAGAGTGTTCCGTTTTTTAGTTTTTGGATAGCCTTGGGTTCGCCAGCCAAGCTTGCTATGCCCTTGGTTATCAAAAATGGCGACACGGTTGATAGGCCTTCTGAATTCGGACGTTTCTGTTTTGTTTTATTTTCTTTAATTATTTGGGTGAGTGGTATTGGGGAATCCGCTGAAAGCTAGGGACTAACTCCAGGAGAGCCGAAAATTCAAGGTGGCGGCCAAAAATGGATTGAAATCGACATTGACAAACATTGTTGGCGAAACAACAAACGCACGCACACACACAAACACTTTCTATCAATTTAACTAACACTATCCAACATTTTCAGTGCTGGAATTAACATTAAGAAAGGTAGGTTGCCAGGCAACGAAACATACGCCCACAGCAGCTAAATCGTCCGGGCAGTCAACAAGAGTTGTCGCATATTTTTACTTTTTTCGGTAATGAAACATTTATAATACACTAAAATCTGAGTAAGAGCAACAACCCAGAAAACCATTAGAATTTGTTTGGTTTTTATAAAGTTCTGCCCCATGCTAACATTTTGTATACAAAACTTTTAATATCAATGATTTAGCTGTTCCAAGTCATAAAAATTCATTGAAATTCAATATACTTGTTCGTCTCAAGATCTTAAACTCTGTGTATCAATCTGAAGTCAATCGGATGATAACTTTAGCCTTTACAGCGTCACAAGATTTTGCAAAAGGGTGGCAATATAAGCCACATTTTAGTGGGGCACATAAATAGGAATATAAATCATTTTCTGGCGTGGTTCCCCGCTCCCCCACCGTCTTGACAGAATACGACTGCGGCTCGGGCAAAATTGCCCTCATAGCACACTTTATGACGTATTGCGGGCTTCATTAGATGCAGAAAAGTTGGACGTAAACCCCAATGTCATTTAATCATTTGTTTTGAATATTTCACATTATTTTATATTAGTTGAAATATTGGACTATATCGCTTTCAATCATTAAACATTTCCTAATAGACGCAGTAAAATGTCCGATTATTCAGTGGCGGTCATGCACCAGTAGCCTACCATATATAAAATTATCACGTGACTGAACAGGAAGATATATTGATACTGCACCAGGACGTTATAACTAGGTGTGTTTCAATTTACACAATGTCGTGCTCGAGACTATTAAACGAATTAGTCAGGCGAATCTAATATTTCATCTAGTATTAATAATGTATGTTATGTCAAATGATGGCGCATTTCAATGAAATCGTCCCGCCAACATCACCTGCTTGCTCTACTTTACATCTACGTGTGTACATTATATATATAGTCCACATTGACATATACAATAACCACGGGTACCCATATATCTAATACGTATAAATTATATACACGACATGAACATGCACTATAATCACATATTGATGGTACACGTATTATATATTTACTCGACATGTACAATAATCACATGTATACGTATATAATATATATACACAACATGTACATTACAGGTTCATGCAGGCTGAGGGAGATGGGTGCAATAAGTTCATCGCTCCGGGGCTCCCGATCTGGTCGTAATGTTTTAAACAGGAGGGGGCATGGGGGGGGGGGGCGACCCTGGGTACATATTTAATCATCTCACTGTATAAGTCCGATCACGTCATGTGATATCTGAGTCATACCGTTAGTACATACATAGTAATAGAATATTTACTTACTGATCAAAACATTCCTGTGGTCTACGCCAACTCATTGCAACAAATAAAACTTAAACTTGTAGCCTGTATTAATATGTCAAAATATTCCGTGGAAAATTGGTCACGTCGAATCTTTGGTAATGTGCATAGTCTCGTATAATCAATCACAGTTATCTTAAAAGTGTATTACACGTCTGTAAGATCGAATAATGTTTCGTACATCACGAAGTAACGCATATGAAAATAGTCTCGTATAACAATATGCATTTAAAATGAAGCGTGTAACATGCCTGCGTGATTCAGTAGAAATTTATAGTTGTAGCTAAAGTATGTAATTTAATATAATGTACATAACAATAGTCTCGTATAACCATACATCGTTAAAGAAGCAATATTGTTATTAATATATGCAAAACCAACCAACTGCAACCTTGGGTAACAACATGCTCTGTTATTATCTGCATACATGTTGAATCTTACAAACCTCCAGATACCTTAACGGGCCAATCTCGGTTATATTTTGGAGAATATAAAACTGCTTAATTTTCTGTGAAAAGCCCTTAAAACATCTTCCTAAGGGCCTAGCAAAAAACTCAATATACGTGATACATTTTCAAATTGAAACCCGTCAGTTTTCATCTGGAAATGGAGACTGGGGTCCCAAGTTGTATTATACGGTATCTGGTTAAAATCAGACTTTTATTTTATAAAAGTAACGTATAGGTGAAATTTACCGTTTGTTATCAAGCACATGCATCACGCATCGTTTTGACCTCTAAAGGAACGATAATAGATTTATCAGGTCACCCAGCGAAACAATTGACCCGAAACCATACACGGGTTACCTGTCCAGATATGCGGTTTTGACGTTGACGTATCAACGACTCAATATCTTAAATTGAAATTATCAGACAAGGTAAATACTCCAGTCCTCTATATTTTGACACTTAAATTTCAGACTTACACGGACTTAGATATTGAGACTTTTAAAATCGGAATGGTCCCTTTAAGTACAACGTTAGAAAACTCTAATTCTTAAAATAAGGCTTGTTTACAGTGGTGGCCATTTAACTGTTAGCTTTTTTACAAACTTATTGAATCGTATGTTCTTTTACTGCGGTACTATTGAGGTCTGTAAGACGTTGGCAGCGAGCATTCGGGGGTCGAGAAGTTAAGGATTTTCAAATGCAACAAAGCAAGGAGGCAAGGATGAAAGAGCGAGTTTAGATTGCAACAGGTTTCCATAGATTACAGTAAGTAACAAGCCAACAGTGAGGCTGATGTCCCCCGCCGAAATAGGAAAATAATTAGAGGACACATATAAATTTATCACAAATTATCTTTTACAAAGTATTGAACAATCAAACAGTATATCTTTACTTATAGTCTAACAATCAAAGTAGGAGAGTTATTGTTTTCCAAAGTCTCGACCAATCAAATTGCGTATCGCTCTGCTTACCCTGAGCAGAAAATGCTCATTATCAAACTTAGTCAAGGTATTACTGTAATGAAACTATACACCAAGTTTCATCAATCTCACTTAATTAGAACTAAAGTTATCGTGTCCCAAAGCATCAACCAATCAAATTGCTTATCTCTGCTTACCCTAAGCGGAAAATGCTCATCTTCGAACTCCATCAAGGCATTGACCTAATCAACACATACACCAAGTTTGAACATTCTAGCTCAATTAGGAAGAGAGTTATCGTGCCCCAAAGTATCAACCAATCAAATTGCTTATCTCTGCTTACCCTAAGCGGAAAATGCTCATCTTCGAACTCCATCAAGGCATTGACCTAATAAACACATACACCAAGTTTGAACATTCTAGCTCAATTAAAAGTTATCGTGTCCCAAAGCATCAACCAATCAAATTGCTTATCTCTGCTTACCCTAAGCGGAAAATGCTCATCTTCGAACTCCATCAAGGCATTGACCTAATCAACACATACACCAAGTTTGAACATTCTAGCCCAATTAGGAAGAGAGTTATCGTGTCCCAAAGCATCAACCAATCAAATTGCTTATCTCTGCTTACCCTAAGCGGAAAATGCTCATCTTCGAACTCCATCAAGGCATTGACCTAATAAACACATACACCAAGTTTGAACATTCTAGCTCAATTAGGAAGAGAGTTATTGTGTCCCAAAAAGTGTGACGGACAGACAGACGGACGGACAGACAGACGGACGAACCCATTTTAATAGTCCCCTGCTTTCTTCGAAAGGCGGGGGACAACAATATAGCCAGATTAACAATGGACATTATTCAAGAAGATTTCAAGTACCAGAACTTAAACTGTTGGATTTTCTAAATTCAACAATTAGTACCCTCCACTGAAAACTGATTTATGATGACAAATTATTCTGGTTTGCATAGACTTAAAATTACTGCTTTAAATTGAAGAATATTACACTAAATACTGCTTTAAGTTGGGGGATATTACACTAAATACTCCTTTAAATTGGGGGATATTACACTAAATACTGCTTTAAGTTGGGGGATATTACACTAAATCCTAAAGTATGTAATTCAATTTCTGAGAAACACATTTCTTAGAAATGAAATGAAATGGGGTTTAACGTCCTACTTTTCTGCTCCTAAACTGGGCTAATGAAGACGGGCATACGCCATACGGTGTGCTATGAGGGAAATTTTGCCCGGTCAGCGGCGCTACGGCCTACTCTTATATCGAATTCCAACTGCCAAGGGATATTTTACGTGCACGCCAATATGTATGCGGAACTCGGTTTTTCGTCCCATCCAAACGACTAGACAGCTGTCCTTTTCCACATTTCTTAGATTGTAACACGAAAATGAAAATACAATATTGACTGGAGTAAGACCACTACTGTGTCGTTATGTTTTTAAAATAAAGTTTTTTCGTCCCATAGCATTAAAATAATACTTATGGAGTTTTATAAACCTGTCAATGGGTTTGGAATTATCTCTGGTGAAAAAAATTCCGTTTAAAGCACACTGCGATACTGTATACCGACAAACAACAAAAAGGGTACTATATACCGAAACATACAATAAATCAATACCGAATAAAACTGACCTAACCTACAAAAAGTGGGGGAAAAAATACATATTTTTAAAAAGAAAATTGAAATTAACATTTATTTTAGATATTATCCTAACCTTTCTTTCCCACTTTCCCAGATTAAGTTTTCAGATTTATTAATCTTTATTTTAATGTATACATATTGGCAGAATAACACAGGCTATAAATATTTTAGAAACAACTTCCGGCTTTTGTTTGTCTCTGTTTACCGTAGTTTGCAACTTCATCCACCAGAAATACATTGGCAATTTTATTTATTTCCATCTCAATTTCGATGGGCCAACATTTTTATAACTATAAATCGTATTACGAACCAAATTCGTAATGTTAAAAACAAATTAAAACTGGTTTGGTTTCAAGCATATACACTTAAAAAATAACCATACTGTTTATTTACGACCTATTTGTTAATTGAGAATGTTTATGCACATATTGTGACAACGCAACATTTTGCTTAAGACAGAAGGATGGGTTATTGATTGTAGGTTTAAAAGTCTGTATTTGAGTGCTTCGTGATGTTTCAATTCCGCGTCTTTCCCGGCCCTATGGTTTTCTCAAATTCTCTAGCTATAGTCTGCTGGAGTATATATATAAAGAATAAAGATATACACTTAAAATACAGATGTGATGTCATCCTTTGATGTTGGCGTATCATTATTTCAAATAATTGTACGGGCAATGTGCCAAGCGTACATTATTTATACTAGTTAAAATTTTGGACCCATGTGGCGTATTTTGACAGTTGATCAAGTACACAGTTTTGAAAGGTAGCTAAGGTTACCTTGATCCAGGTTCTGTTTCCTGAGAAGTTGTTATGTGAGACTGTAAACGGATATGCCCAATCTCTTTGCAAGAGATGGATAGAGAACAACCTAAAAACAAACAGGATTTTTTTGTACAATCAGGGGCAATAATCCATAAAGTTATGGTCTGAAATGCCCAAATATCAAAAGAGACTGAGATCTTTGGGATATAAAGATATGTTTTAAGTTTCATCAAAATCGGATAAAAATTGTGACCTCTACAGGGCCCACAACCATCGTAGCATACTTTTACACAATTTGCGTACAAAGTGCTACCATTTTGTCCGGCAGTTTCATTTCGATTTTCCCGAAATTCTAATTCAACCTTCATTATGGTGGAATGGTGATATATTTAAACGGTTTTTAAAATCGGAAAAAAAATTGTAACCTCTAGAGAATCCGCATGCTAAAAATGCGATTTTTCGAACAATCAGGAGCCATAATCCAGGAAGTAACGGTGTAACGTTGATATATTCGAACGTTTTGTTTTTAAATCGGATAATAATTGTGACCTCTAGAGGGACCACAAGCTAAAAACGCGACTTTTCGTAAATCAGGGGTCATAATTCAGGAAGTTACGATTCGATATGTAAAAAAATAGACAGGGACCAAGATATTTGGGTTATAAACATGCATTTCAAATTTCATCAAAATCAGATGAAAATTGTAACCTCCAGATGATCCACAACCCTGATACACAATATTTTGACACTATTTGCGAACGAGGGGCGGCCATTTTGTCAGTCAGTTTCTGTCCGATTTTTACGAAATTCGAACTCAGTCATCCTTAGGGTGTAACGGTGATATATTCAAACGGTTTTGTAAAACGGATAAAAATTGTGACCTCTATGTGGTCCACAAGCTAAAAACGTGATTTTTCGTACTATCAGGGGCCATAATTCAGGAAGTTATAGTCCGATATGCGTTAATATCGAAAGGAACCGAGCTCTGTGGGTTATAAACATACATTTCAAGTTTAAACCAAATCGGATAATTGTGACCTCTACATTGTTCACAAGCTAAAACGTGATTTTTCGTACAATCAGGGGCCATAATCCATGAAGTTATAGTCCAATACATGCCAATATCAAAGGGAACCGAGGTCTTAGGGTGATAAACCTATATTTGAAGTTTCATTGAAATCGGATAAAAGTTGCTATCTGTAGAGTGTTCACAAACTATTGTGGACAGGCGGGCGGACAGCCAGGGGCGACGACAATATACGTCCACATGAAAATTGACTGTAACTAGATAAGAGAAAAATAGCAAAAGTCCGTGCATTACCATGTTTTTATCAGGTATAGAATGAATAAAAACAACCGAACGTATGGACTATTTCTATTTTCCCTTATCTAGTGACATTTAATTACTTTTTTGAATTATCAGATATCCTCTGACAGCCTCACATAAACACCGTTT